ACAAATACGGCTGTCATTCTTCGTTTCCTCCCTTCGACAGAGAGACTGCGATGTTGTCCGCGGATAATAAAGCTGAAAGCAGATACTGTTCGCTAATTGCCTGATTTTTCAGTGAATCAGAACAGAGGAAGTCTTTTTCCGTATTATCAACGAATGCACTATGGTTGCTCTGCTAAGAATGATCGTCTCTCTTGCCTCTCGCTCTCTTGCACTATGACTCTGGTGTTTTCTTCGAGTAATTAAGAAGAAAAGGCCCCGTTAAGGTCAGCCATCTGTTTGGCTCTCGATCGTTAGGATCGACTGACGCGAGAGCAACGTTTACCTCTATTGTCGATGCTACCTTGGTGTTGAGGCCACTGCTCTCTCTTAGCCTCATAGTTAGAAAAATTTGATGAAAGAGGAAAAGCGGCTGGAATTGAGTTATTCGGAACTTCGCAGAAATGGGTCTTTAGATTGATCGTATCGGACGCCTTGGCCGACTTATCCTGATCCTTCGTATTAATACATGAACAGTGCTAAGAAAAATCAGCACAGTGCCAGCAGTGCCTATCTGTTCGATGCGAAATGGTTAAGAGAGAAGATGGTAGACACGAATTTGGTAAAATGCAAGAGTAAGCAAATAGTTCCTGCTGGATCCATGGTATATCATATCATGAAACAGTATCAGTTGCGAAAACCTGTAAGAAAAAAGTTTCAATGATCAATGCTCAAAAGTGAAGCAAATAATAATCTAATGACGAAGTCGGGTGTCTGTTCATCGTGCGAATAATACTTGTAGATCAGAATGTGAGACAACTCAGTTCATGGTGGAATGGAATGTTGGGGACACGGAAGAAGGCAGGGGGGTGGTTGGCAGGCGCTGAAGCGCTTGCGTGTGTTTCAGAATCTATGCTATTTCCTCGAAGAAAAAAAGATAATTTTACAAGAGAATGGTAAAACTTATGAGCAAGCACGAGCCAGTCGAGAGTGTAGCGAGTCATATCGACGAGCGTTATTTATTCTTAAGAGTAAGAGAGAAGTATTTCTTTACTATCATCTTCATCCATGCTCTAAAATATTAATTTCAATAAAATGTTTCCAATTGATGTTTTAAAAGTTCATCTTTTTTATTTAGTTTAAACTCCTCTCAAAGTTTTGTTCAATTTCGAAGGAAATAATTTCTGAAATTCAAACAAATCTTAATAATACTGATCTAGTTACGATTGGGCTTCTTTCCGAAATGCAAGTTCAACTAGAATTGAGTGGTATCATTGAAATTCAGAAGAACAATGCATTAAGTGGAATAATGTCATTCTTGAATTATTTGAGAACAACAATCCAAGGAAACTATTTGGTTACAGGCCTTGGTACTAATTGGCTAATTGAGATAGTTTACTTCGACGAGAGGACTGATGCTACAGTTGGAACCTCAGTCAAAAAATATCCTCCTATACCGATTAGCTATTTATCATGCAGCTCAAATAATTTGGTAATTGCAGCTACTCTCCCTCCATTATCAAACACTTTAATACAGTATCCGCGGAGATCCAACATGCAAGCATTGCCCAATTCTACCATCGTCAAAGGCTTTTTTACAGGATGTACGCCTATTGAAGCACTCCTTCAAAGTACACTAGATTGCTTATACGAAACGGAATGTCTTCAATTATTGTTGAATTATTTCCCAAATCTGAACCAAGTTTGTAAAGTATAATTCAATAATTGTTACACATTCTTTCTCTTTAGACAAACTTTAATTGGAATAATTTGATTTTATCGTCAAAACATGAAAATACTTCTGTACTTGACTATTTAAACGCACTTTTTATTGACAAGTGGTCAATAAAAATCAATTATTCAACATACTTCGATCAATGTTTTCCATCAATGTGTACTTATACAACAAAAGATCGAGTAGCTTTATCATATGCAATCACTCTTTTCATTAGCCTTTATGGTGGTCTTACTATTATACTTCGCTTAGTTGTATCGTATTTCATTGATACTTTGCTAAAATCTAAATCTTATTCAAATGAAAATTCGAGTAAGTTCTTAATCAAAGACAATTCTCATTACTGATCAAGTTTATTTTTTCATTATATAGATCAGCAAGATACGAATAGGTTTAAACCAATTCAATCATTAAAACAGTTGAATTTATTCAAAAATATTCATGATCGAACAGAAAACAGTATCAAACAACAGAGAATTATTACTCGTATTTATTTAATCTTATTATTCGGTAAAATTATTTTCACTCTACGTATCTTATTTTCTTCGGTACTTTTTTCTTTTCAATTAGGTTCGATATGTTTTCTTTGTCTATACACAACTTTAAGCAACGAAATAGTGATAATAACAGTACCAAATCCTTCGATAACGACTCACAAATCATTAGAAAGTATATATTCAACAATACTTCAATGTCCATGTTCAAATAAAACAATATCTCATAAAATATTTGTGTCATTTTCTCCAATTCTACACCAGATATGTTCGAGTGGTTTTGTTGATGAAGATTGGATAACAATATTAAAAAGCAGTGCAAGCGACATATATATGAACGACTGGCGGAATCAAGCACATCAATATTTTCAGTCATTATCTGATTTTTGTCAACTGGCCAATAGAACAATTAATACAGCTATTAATAGATTTCTTTCACAGATATTTATCGCTTCGTCTGTAATGAATGAATTGGATTTTAATAAACAACTCAATGCAAGTGTCAATCAATTTTACCGATCAACAATTTACAACTTTGATCTTGTGAAAGATGTTATACATCTCGTTATGCAAGTTGATCAATATTATTCGGGATCACTGGGATCTATGTTACGTAATTACGACACTAAACAGATCGTAAACAAAATAATAAATGAGACGAACAATTCTACAACACGACAGGTATGTTACTTTTTTGAACGATAACAGAATTCATCAGTTTATAGAAATATTGTTAGAAACGATCGATACATGAGTATATTCTTCCTATTTTTGTCTGTTAAGTGAGACTTGAACAAAAGGTATCAAGGTATAGTGAATATAATGAGTATAAATTAGAGAGTAAATGTGATTAACCCTCGGAAAGCTTTTACTTCTTAGCATTCAAATACATTTCGTTGATTCAGTGGAATAGATGTATATGTCCAAAGTCCTCCCTGTTGCTTCTGTACGTTTCTAGAAAGCTATGATCAAAGAAAAAACTGGTACAAGAAACGATAGCAATTAAGGCAGCAGAAAATGGGATTGTATTGGGGATCTGAATGCACTTACAAAATCGTCGGAGGCTTAGAGGTGCCCCCTCTTTTTTCATGCTTCTCAAATCTCCAAGATGGAAAACCCAATTCGCTTTAAATTTTTATCAGAGATAGAGGACCTAAGATGACCAGATACCTATTTTTGGCAAAATTTTCCAGCGCCAGTCCTCACGTTTTTAAATAAAAACTCTAGTTTTTCGTAGGTCCTCACCTTGCCATTGGACGAGGGTAGGAAACGTCGTTCGATTGGCCTGAAATTTTTACTGGAGGTACCTATCACTACATCTCATCGGTGGTTTTCACCATTTTGAAAAATCTTGTTTCGTATTTTTTTCCTAGAAAAGAAATACGAAAAGGTTTTCCAGAGATCCTGGTTTTTGACACGAAAAATCTTATAAATCCGCAAGGAGATATGAGAATCGAAAACGGCCGAAACTACTTCTAGAGAATAGTCTAAGGTACCTGTGGTAAAAATTTCAGTCCGATTGGATGAAAAGAAAGGAAGGATGTCCGTGGCACAATTCAACACTTCGACGAAAAAAACCGATTTCGAGAAAAACACAAAATAAGTTTTCGCTATATCGTTTCTCACTGGCGAAAGTTGAAAGTTGATTTTTTATTGCTGTTCTGGGTAATTTTTCATGCAGAATCTGATGGTTATGTCGGAGGTGAAATGGGACGCATCCCAAATGCATTCATCATGACATTTCACAGGAAATAATGGAAAACTCGCTTAGCAATTCACTCTGCCGTCATCATAATTGGTCTAGGAACTGCTTGAGTAGATTTCTTTCGCATTCTATTGTGTTCTACTCTAGCTACCCCTTCGAGTAGAAGTGAAATCATGATCAAGTGGAAAAAATAAATCAAAATGTCCACCATCAGAGCATTAATCGAATGATAAAGAGAAGTATCAGCGAGGAAGTCTGCCTTTTCGCCACGAAATATCTTCTCACTCATTGATGATGTTTGTTTCCATATCCCATGAGTATCTACATGTCTACACTTAACTTTTTGACCATATTTTTACTGAAAAGAAAGAGTTTTTCTAAAGCATCAAGCGTATTCGTAGCTTTTGGAAATTTTTTACATAAGAGATGTTTCGTAAAAATGAAATTTTGAGATAACAGTGAATCCGATTGAGCTCGTTCACACGTCGGTGGGAAGATCTTAGTATGGGCTACCTCTCGAGCACAAACTCGAAAAATCGCTTTTTAAAAAAATTTCCACCTAAAAAGAGGAGATACCCTTAAGATCATGTTTCAAACAAAATAAAATGATAATAAATCAAGATGTTTCGTACAAATTATGTTTTTCCACAGTTTTAAATTGAATTCAAGGTCATTTGACTAATTACTAAGCAGTTTTTCCATGCAGTAGTATGAGACAACGAAGGGTTAGATTTTATGAAAATTGATTGATTAATGACTCTCGATGAGTATAATTTATCTCAATTGATTATTACTGAAATATTAACTTAAATAAATTTATTTGTAGGTCCAATTCATTTCAAATGGAATTCCAGAGATTAATTCAACATCGATCAAATGTAATTGTGTTATAAATCCATATTGTCAAAATCAAGCTGTTATCTATGATTCCACTTTCAACTATGCGTGGGGAAACGATATTAATCTCATTTATAATGTGTCCGGATGGATTCAAGGGTGTCTTGCTATTGATTCTCTTCAATTGTCGACACTTGAGTGCTTATATGTCGATTCAAATTGTTTTCCACTTTTATTAAGTTATTTACCAAAAATGATTTATCTTCCGACGTCTCTACAGTCATCTTCACTTCGTATACAGCCTCTCGTTTATGATCCAGCATTGAGTCGTTTTCCTTCTAAAACATCAATTTCAATGATTATCAAAGAACTGATGGTTGATCAATGGAATCCTTCTTCATCACATGAATATTTCTATGAAGCTTGTGCACCAATATATTGTTCTTATTCTCAAAGAATTCGCAAGGAGAATTTTATTCGAGTAGTTATAATGCTAGTGTCGATGATTGGTGGCATTGTAGCCTCTTTACGTATTTTAACACCTCATTTTGTGAAATTTGTTTTGAAATTTTTAACAATGTTCAAGAAAACATCAGAACAAGGTAACTAACTGAAGATCATTTACCTTATATTCATACTTTGTCGATAGATTACGAATCTTATTTGATAGAATTTAAAGGAAAATTTTCACAAATATATCTCATCGAAAAATATATCACTCTAAACGCTTTATATGCAACATGCAATGTATGAGAATATCTATCGACTGCGATTTAAGGGTACTCATCCCATCTTTTTTGATCAAAAAAATAGATTTTCCGTGAACCATAAGTAATGATAGTCCTAGGTGCCATCTACAACTTAACTGCTTAATATTTTGAATTGTTATTAATGAAAAACAGACATTTTTCATAGTGCCAGTATATTTCTGTTCTAGTTCACCTTACTCGTACCAATCGATTGAAGATCATGGTACAGAATTTAAAAAAACGTTTACATACTAAATTGATTGAGTTGAATATATTTACATTACGTGATATGGGAAGTGATGTTGATCGAATAACAGCAAAACGTTTTGGTCAATGGGCGACTCGTCTTTACGTTATCTTATTTATCAGTGCTCTCGCTATTCTTATATTTTATACAATTATTGAACCGCATACACTGACAAAAAATTTTGATGAACCATCTTTTATTTTATACAATCATTTGAGAAAAACCTATGGTGATGAATTAAAATGCAGATGCTCAAAAATAGCATTTACATACAATCAATTCGTCGAAATCGAACCAATCTTTCATTCGGTAAGGTAGAATTTTGGCAAAGTAAAGATTTCGATGCTTTCGAGTATTCATGAAAATCGCATCGTTATTAAACGAAAGTCTTAATCAGTATTGTCCTATGGCGTTGATCATTATTTCTAGGTATGTACAAGTGAATTTGTTTTGGAAGGATGGCGACTCGCTTTAGTAAAGGGTCTTAATCCTAATTTAACTGTATATGAACAAAAAGATTATCGTCAATTTTTGTCGGCTCATTTACAATATCTTCAAGGATTATGTCGACTTTCAATACAATCAGTAAATAATTCTATCGATGAATTTTTGACATCATTATTAGTCACTGTCGAACTTTTATCAGAAATCAACTTTGAGAATCGTCTGAATATCTTAACGGAACAGATTAAAATCAATGCTCCTATTCTATTTTCTCGTCTTCTTTCTTCAACTCAAAGTATTTTGCATGGCAATGCTATTATATCAACTTATGGAACAAATTTCAACTATAGGATTTTAGCGGTTGGCTCTAGGTATGTTTATGCATATACAGAAGCTACCATCTATGACGATGAATGTTCATGTGGATTGTCTTCAAATTGTACAATGCAAGGAACTTTGATTGAAAGAAATTCTTCAAGAAAGATTCCTCTCAAAGGTATGCGAATGGGATGTACACCAAGTCAATCATTTCTTGTTTCAACTCTTGAATGTTTCTATGATCAATCATGTCTTGATCTTATTCAGCATTATACAAACTATGAAAATTCTTTAACTCCTCTTTCAACAACAAATCTTAGTCATTTTTCACAGAATACAACAATAGGTGAACTTATAAATAATTTATTCATTGAACAATGGTCAACACAAATAAATTATGCATCATATTATCAACAGTGTTCGCCTTCAATTTGTTCTTATACAAGTATTGAAAAGTTTAATACATTTCATACAATCACCGTGGTACTTGGTATTCAAGGTGGTTTAACCATTGTTCTGAAATGGATTTGTCCAAAACTAGTTCGCATTGGATCAAAAATATATCATCATCGAAAAAAACAACCAAATACTGTTAATCCTATTAATACAAATCAAGTTTCATCTAATGCAACGTATAATACAGCTATTCAAAATACTACTTGGAATAATAAGATTACATCAATGAATATAAGATTACAGTAAATCATCTTGCTTTTCTTCTTAATTACAAATTTCTTTTATTTATAGGAATAATGTTATACCACGTGGTCAATCGATTTTTAAGATGATATTTGTTATTATACTACTAATATGCATATTAGTAGGTGCCACTGTTTTATCAGTATATTATGCTCGACAAAGTAAGAAGAAAATTTCCTACGCTTGATATCCATTGTAAAATGTTAAGTAAAAGTTTTATTGACATAATGATGAATAAGATTTAGAGAGAGCATATCATCATCGAAAACAATTATCTTATATTAATACTATCGTACATTTGCTTTCGTTTTCGTAAATTCATAGTACATAGAGCACTAAAATTTTTTTAGCCCACCATAAGGAAACATGCGAATTCCCTTCTAAGATTACTATCGTAGGGCGAGGACATCTTCATGATTATGTAGAACATTCAGGGCTCCACGTGTTGTGCATCGCGAGATCTTCGGTGTTTTTCCGACCACTATCAGTCATTTGCACAATGGTAATCGAACTGTCTAGAGAGCAATTTCGTACCATGATTCTTTATGACTGGAAAATTGGCTTGAATTACCGAGAGAACCATGCTCGTTTGGTAGCAACTTGAGGGAACCAAGCACCTTCCGATCGAACAGTTCTCAACTGGTTTCATGGATACGAACGTGGAAAATCGGACGTCTCTGATTTACCTCGTTCAGGACGACCTCGGACTGCAGTAACCGATGAAGTGGTCGATGTCGTTCGAGTAATGATTGACGATGATCCGTATGTGACGTATCAGCAGATCGTGTGTTCCTTGGACATCAATTCGCCAGCAATTTATTCATTCCTCCACGATCATTTAAAGTTACGGAAGGTTTGCGCAAGACGAGTACTACATTCGCTCACCAATGATCAAAAACGACTTCGAGTGCAATTCTGACGTGAATCACTGAGATGGTTCGAACAAGGACAATCTCGGCATGTATTCGACATCGTTACTGGTGATGAATCATGATTTCATCATTATGATCCAGAAACCAAAGAGCAATCAAAAGCGTAGGTGTCAAAAGATGATCCTCGTCCGACAAAAATTCGACGAAACAGGAGTTATCGGAAACGAATGGTCGCAATTTTGTTTCATAAAGTCCGGCTTGATCAAATCAATGGTATTGGAATGTGGTGCCTCAATCAGTGCACGATTATACGTCACGAACTGCCTCTCTAGGGCTTTCGATGCTATTGCACAAAGACGAGAGAAGACGAGACTCCGTATGCTGATGTTGCATGATGAGAATGCACGACCCCATCGAACTTTGATGACGACCGAATATTTGGCTGAAAATGGTGTCGAATCGTATCAAAACCCCCCATATTCACCAGATCTGAGTCCCTGTGATTTCTTTCTATTCCCGAGACTGAAAAATCAGCTGCGAGGAATTCAATTTAACAACGACGAGGAAATGTTGAAAGTCTTGGACCATGTTATTCAGTGTCTGACTAAAGAGGACTTCCAGAACTGTTTCACTTATTGGTTTTCTCGCATGCAAAAGTGTATTGATGCTGGTGGAGCGTACTTTAAAAAAAATAAATTGACACTGGTATCTAAGTATCTTCTGTAAGGGCTAATGAAAACCTTTCATAATGCCCCATGTATATATACCTGTCTTGATTAAAAAATAGATAAAGATTGTTCATGAAATAACTGTTAAATGTTTGTTTGATAGATTCAACGACGAGTGTAACAATGATTAATGATTTGAATACGACAATAAACACAAAAACGTCAACATCTTCGAGCACATCAGGTGAATTCATAAAAATGATGGAGTCATACCTTTTCTGAACATCATAGTTAAATGGCCATAATATAAATTTCCATTGTGTATTTTCAAAACGCACTATCTTCATATATATTTTGAACTTAAATTTTGATATGTTTGAGTTCGATAATAGTTAAAAAGTATCAATTAATTTATATCTTTAGAACCATCATTGTGTCATCCTGCATTTAAACAACTATCAATTACTACATCATGTCAATTGAAGACTCCAGGTGCAAGTGTTATTGCTGATGTAAACTCTGATAATCGAGTTGATCTAATTTTTCCTTGTCAGTATGATCGAACAGTGAATATATTATTTGGGACTGGTAATGATACTTTTCAAACAACGATGGTAATTTCTTTCGAAGCTTATTCTTGGATATATCATATTCGTGTTCGCGATATGAACAATGATGGTCAAGTCGATCTCATTTTAGTACAGGAGCTAGAAGTTACTATTTTATTCGGGTATGGTAATGGAACGTTTCAAACACAGAATATGCAATCCATAGCCATTGGTGGCGTTCCTCAACATATCGCTATAGTTGATCTCAACCATGATAACATGTTGGACATTATTGTTATAATTGAATTTGAAGACTATGTGTATATATACTTGGCGAATGTTAATGGAACATTTCTATTAGATTCAGCATTGTTTATAACACATAACAGCAACTCACAAGGATTAATTATTGCTGATTTTAACAATGATACTCATTTAGATATTGCTATAATGAATACAAATAGTCTCCATATTCATATATTTTATGCCAATACTAATGGAAGTTATCAGCCACAGAAATGGCTTTTTACTGCCATCGATGCTGCTTACGCTGGTGTAGTAGCCAGTGACTTTGATAGTGATAATCGAATCGATATTGCTTTTCTTTATAGTTGGAGACATACAGTCTGTATGCTATACCAAAATAATAATGATAGTTTTCATGTTAATGAGCAAATAATCATGGAATCTTCCATACAATTGAACTCAGTAGTGGTAGGTGATTTAAATGGTGATAATTCTTTAGACATCGTTATTGGAACAATTTCTCAATATGAAATCTATGGTTTACTTGGAAATGGAAATGGAGATTTTCAAATACAAACTATTCATTCGAATAATCTTTTTAGTTATCAAATATGGAATGATGTCACTGATTTCAATAATGATAATTGCCAAGATATAATTAGTATAAATATTGATACTAATTACATAGATATTTTCTTAAATACATGTGAATGTTCAACACATTAGACTATTCGAAAGACTCATATTTAATATTCAACAATATTCCTGCTTTATGCTTAACAAACTATATTTCTTTATCAATATTTCATCTTTTGCACGTAATAAAAATATGACAGAAATATTGCGAAACTCTTTAATTTTGTTTTTTTTACTTGTTTATTCATTTTATTCCAAACTAGTAGAGATACCTGAGGGTGTGAGGATGAGTCGAGAAACCATTACACATGTTCCGTTCAGAAGGATTTATAAATCTTTTCGTCATCAAGTGTTGGATGACGAATAAATGTGATGAAGGAAGAGTTGTATGTGATTACGTTTCACGCTACTAGTGTCAGCTTGGATAGCCTTTTGTTTTGTTTGTGGCTGTAGTAGTGTTACGGAACAGCTGATTTGGATCACAGCTTTTCCGATGTTGTGTGTTTTTGGTAACAGATAGGGTGATATGGTTTTATCAGAGGAATCATGGATTAAAATTGTCGGGTTGTAAAGATTAGAGGAGAGGAAAGTATTCAGCTTGGATGGATCGGTGGAAAAAGTGCCGAATTTACGTTCGGTGGTCATGACAGGATGAAAATCGGTCGGTTAGGGAATCATGTATTCTGGAAAATAGCGGTCTCGAATTGACTTCATGGGAGAATACAATTCTCATATGTTTGTAGGTCATTCATCATCGAATTATAGTATCCCCCGTATTCATTCAGTAAAGTATGGAGCCTTTCAAGGTGTCGAATGATGGTGTAACTAGTTTCCTATTAAAACTTTGTGTGCCATCAATTTGTTGTGTTGATTAGTCGCTATAGTCTAGATAGTTTTAGTTTGCGTCCAAATCGTCATGCTACTGATTTCGTGTCAAAAGTGATGGATTTCGTTATCAATAGAGTTGTGTCACTCATGTGCCGTGTCGGTCGATTAGAGCATGGCTTTGTCGATCCGGGCTGTCGAAAACATCTAATATCGGACTTTCTCATTTCGAGTTTTGAATCATGCAGAGAGAAACAACCGATGAAAACCATTTCGATGATCCATTCGAGATGGACGTGTAGCTCCGTATTCATTCACAGACCTGTGCATAGTTTTCAAATGCCTTTTCTTTTTTGACAGCCTATCATATGACCACTTGTCTTTTCATCAGACGTCTGTCAACTTAGTTCATCAGCTGTGCATATCCTTCTTCTATCATCGAAGTAAGGATCCAACCAATACGAAGATCAAAAGGCATCAACACAAGTCATCTGGAAAAGAAAGAAAATAAACAGTTAGAGAAATAGGATCACGAGAAAAAGTTCAGAAAAGTGAAATAACAAAGAGACCGATTCTCGATGGTAACTCAAGAAAAACATTTGCATACAAAGAAGAACAGAAGCTTTATCATGGTCTATTTATAGTCTGATATACAAACAAGTTTATTTATTTCAGAAATAATGTTCAGAAGAAGAAAAACACGCATTTACTCTGTTCAAAGAGTACTCATCATGTCAGAAAGCGAACGAAGCATGGTTAGTTCAGATTGAACCAAAGCAAAATCCATATTTCGACACCATCACAACATATAGTCATGTCCATTGCTATGCTTAGCCCCTAGTGAGCATCCGATGCGACTCTTTGGCGAATCACTACTAGATCCTATAGGGTATCCAGAAAGTCCTGCGAGTTAGAAAAATTCGAATGGTTTTCTTATTTTATTATCAAATAAGCTAATTTTTTTTCTGGAGGTAGAGGGTAGATAGAAGCTTTTATTCAGCACAGAAACGGTCATTTACGAACATAAAACCAGCAAAATTTTCTTAACTCTCGGATGCCCAAGCGGGATCTATATGGATCCCAGAATAGGAAATAGACATCCAACAAAAATATCTCGGTATTTTACTATCTTTAAATATATATCTCTCAATCCGGTCACGCGAATGTTTTCTCTTATGGTATCGTTGTGATCACAGCGTGATTGTGAACAGTACAGTACACTGAAAAAAAACTGCAGAATAGTAAACTTGTAACGATTAGAGGACGGAATTTTATTCGAACAGGAAAAGCATTTTTTCACCATTTTATTTCATTTTAACGTGGAATAGTTACATCAAACTCTGATGAAACTCAAAAAACAGTTTTTGTCATCTTTTAAACAAAATGCCTATTGGCAGGAAAAACACTCGATGTTAGATCGCACTTCTGCTTCCTTGATACTGCAATAAGCACATCGTCTTCGTTTTCCTTTTACAGGTTGATGCATTTTATTCTCAAAAGTAAGAACAGTTTTGGGTGATGGTAGTTTAGACTTCTTCTCAGGGGGAGGCCTTCCGCGACTGGTTCTTTCACTACCGGAGCAAAGCGATTTTGCCAGTAAAACCATATAGTTCAGGTGTGTTATCTTATTTTGAACTAATTGATTATAACAAACAAGTAACGTTCGACCATCGGTCTCACGTAACCCTCGACTGTAGTCGATCAGTCGTGCCTCCTTGCTACTGTCAAACAATGAGAATCTCGTATGAAATATATACACATGCCGACGGGATTCTCCTTACAATCTATATGTCTACTGACATAGGTCCAGGACACTGTTTTTTTCGAGCACGGATAGTTAATACGACGCAAGTTCGATGCATTTCGAAACGACAACAGCCTACAACACGCTCTACATCAAGAATACAAGATACTATCATGAATGGGATGAGACAATCAGTTCGCCTAGCATCTTTTTTTGCTTTGCGGGAAAGCATGAAAACACTTTATAAGAACTATACGGTCAATAGAGTTCGGAGAGTAATAGCTAGTCGTTGGTCGGCGTCCCTCCAGTCCGCCGTTCACGACTAGCCCTTGTTGCGTCTATAGTTCTGTTGCTGTAGTCGATTCTTTGGTTCCGAACACGAGAGCAATTCCTAACATCCATCTGGTAATCTTTTCAGAAGATAATTTTTATGACACTAAAATGATATCAGTTTACAAATTTCATCGTCTCAGGAATTCTCGCTACTCTGAACTTCCATTCTCTCTCATTTATCCCTTCGACTTTTGGTCAAAAACCTCTACTAGTAATGATGTCATTTCTATTTGTTTTTCAATCGACTTCAGTTAGAATTGAACGAGTGAACGACGCTCTTGCGTTCTACCAGTCATGTCCAAGAAACGCTTAGGATATCTTGTGAACCAGTGTAGACTTGAAGAAGAGAAAATTTCTGTCCAGCAATGCAGTTATCTGAGGTTTTGATTATTCGTATGATTCGATCATTTCTCTGCGAACTGATGTTTCTGACTCGAGAACTGTGACTCATCCAGCCCTGAAATATGAACATCGTGTCATTTCTATCTACAATCCATTCTCAGGCAAAGCTGATGCTGCGATGTATCTATCGTTTATATTTCTAGAGGCCGAAACTTTTATCCCAATTCGTATATCATACATTTCTGCCGTTTGTTACCAAGAATTGAGATATCATAGTCCGATGTTTAGTTGAGGACGGTCTACAGATACGCATTTTTTCACAAAAAGAAAGCATGGATACATGCATAAAGCTCCGATCTTCAATGGCGCTGATACACCTCTGAAACACTTCATTCTATGAATCGCGTCGAGAGCACGTCATCATGATCTTTCCCCATAATTTCTTGGTCCTTAGCAGTGCTGCCCATCTACCCTACATTTCCATTGCTCGCACATTATTTTGGGACCGATCAATCGCCTATAGTATTCCACTGTTCAACCTCTTTTCATGACACCTTACGCGCAAAAGCATTGTACATCTTTAAAATAAACGAATCATAACGAATTATGCTCTGCTGAGATCTACTGAATACAATGCCCTTCTAAATCTACGCTCCTAAATCTGTCAGTTGCGTGTATGAGTTACGAATTGCTTATCGTTTTGTCCGAGAACATATAGCATAGCAACTCTAAGAACAAAAAGAATACATGTTGGCGCTTTCGTGAATGCTAACGAATCTGCAAAGTGCTTCGTAAATCATTCGTACTGTCAGAGTCAGAATAGTTCTTTATCTCCGTGTTCGATTGATCTGTTATTGGGTATCACCATTCGATGACTATTTCTCTTAATTTTTCGCTCAGAATAGCTTGATTAACACAGATAAAATCAAAATTGTTCCGAACAGTGAATATGAAATCAGCAGACAGTCTACCCTGGGAGACCCTCACGATTGCGAAAATATTGGCTAAGCTGTCGACCACTTTCTATACAGCTTTTTAACACGGAAGAATATCATAATCGTCAACTTGAATCGAAAAACTGACTACCAACTCGTGCTTAGAAGAACCGAACTGCATTGATTCCTGGCTAAACAATAGCGTTGATTCAACGCAATTACGAGATGAGCAGACCCGAAATTTACCATCTGGGACTTAAAAAGCCTTTCCCAGCCCTTTTTCTGGAAACTCGAACCTCAGTGATCAGTGACTGAACAATAGGATTTCGTGGTGAATGGACCCCGAATTCGTGTCCTCTGACCCAAAAAAAAACCCATTCTGGTCCTTCTTTAGTAAAGTCGATTTTCATGGGCCAGTGGCTGACCAAT